CTGTAGAGTTTGGTCTGCACAGGGAACGTGTTCCCCATGCAAAAATTATTTTGTCAAATTCTTTCCGCACAAATGAAGTTCACGGGTAACTTTCTGCACACAATTAGTTCTTTTTTCAATCATTTTCCACGCATAAAATACTTGTTTCATCATCCATCCAGAGACCCGTCCACGCAAATGTATACAAAATGATGTTTTCTGAGCATGAAATAATGTTATATTCCCCGCACTAGAAAAATACTGTATTGTCTGGTATCTTGGTAGTACAGATTTTCAGCTTATGATATAGACTGGCCAGATACATATATGCTACTGCGACTCTGTCAAAGGCCAGTAGGTCTCCACATTAGGTAATTTTTCACAATAACTTTGCATGACTGATCACAACAATTTTGGTATGAATGGCGTTGGATTCCTCTCACCCTCTAGTACGCACATATATAGGAATTATACTGCAGAACAGCCCCAAATCCCCACATTCTTGGCCCTGACGAAGTTGGAAAACATGCAAATGCTTGCAGTGACACTGATCTTCAGTCATTATGATTATTCTTGCTTGCATCCAATTTTCTTTCTTGCAGATATTTGATTTCCAACATAACTAACAGAAAACAAAGCAAAGTCCATCCCCATTTAATTACAAACATGAATTACAATCACTTAAACATTAAGTCACTTCAGGACATCCTTATTAAAAATGAAAAACTATCACTGTTGCTCACACTATAGATGTCCTATGCTTGCAGGTCGCAGCCCATACATTGTTGTTGCTTGTTATGATACATTCACAAAAAACAACATATTTTCCAACCAGGGGCCCAAATAGCAGAGAGAACATGAAAGGTACTAGGAAAATTGCAGTGTAGACTAGCAGTCAGGAGGCATTTGCGTGTAAACGTATGACTTATATTACGATGACTGATATTGAAGATAATACCTTCACTATACTTCCGCCCCCCAACCTCGCCCCAGGGAAGCAAATAATCCTCCGTGTATATATGTCAGTATAGAGCATACAACCTACAGGTGGGGCGAACACGGCAAGCTATAATCTAGGAATTATAAGGTACTAACCTGATTGATAAATGTAGCTGATCTGAGAAGGTGCTCAGCTCTGAGGGTGATTTTCTTATGCTCTATCCCACCATACATATATGGTGGATTCTTTGTCTTCCAGGAGGGTGGAGTTACAGGGGGCACAGCCCCCTGCATCATACATTGCAATGACTTATTCATTGTATATGATTACTATAGTTATATATTTTCTGTATTCTAATTATATTTTACCCCGTATTTTCATGGGTACCTTTCATGTCCTTCTTTGGTATTGGGGCCAAGATTGTCATTAATGATAGGAGTTTCCATGGCCAAGTTTTGATATATATAGATAGTTAAGGGTGAGAGGAATCTCTCAATACCAAAATCGTCATGATCAGTTATGCAAAGGTATTCTGAAAATTTACCCCACATTACATACGCTAGGAAGAAAGAATATGTAGATTTCATGGCAGTTTGTTATCAAATGAGAAACCAGTCCCTGCTCTTGGGTGGGCACCACAAAAAGAGTTCCTATAGAACTTCCATAGAGCCCTCTATAAGATGGGGTATTAGGGGGAAGGACTTCATAGAAAGGACACTTGTTTTGTTTGCATGATGATGACATAATTTCTTGTTATTTCTTATTTTTTGAGTGTTTACCTCAGTTTCCCCATTAACTGTCATGCCGTCCTTATCAGTCACAGCCAATTTCATTACTGTTGATTACTGTAGACTGAAGCTACCTTAGGCCTGTCTGAATATCAGACATCACAAACTGTCCATTAGTATCAGATTCCTTAGTATTGATGATGTGCAACTATTTGATTAATCCATAAGGAATAGGAATGTTTCCACACTATATTGTTGAACATGTCAGTGCCCCATTTTAGTTTCAAGAATTAACCATAAAGTATATATAAAATCTGCCTTGGAATGCTTTCTTTGTTTTACTTTGTATCGTATTAATTGGGAGTGAATATCTCTTGCATTGTAAAGATGTTTATTCTCAGTCATACCATATCTTGTTTTACTTTGATATAGCCTAGGAAAGAATTATGTGTTTGCGTCTCTCTATGTCAGTATATTGGTTGATTATAACAAAGAGTGTTTGCTTATGTGCCTTCTTTATTTATTTTATTTTTTCTGATCTTCCTCTTCTTCCCCTGTCGTCATTGTCATCATTGTCTTCCCCATCCTTCGCTTCCTTTTCGTTCTCCTCCTCCTCCTTATCTTTTTCTTCCTCTATCTCATCCTTCTCATCCTCTGCTTCTTTCTCTTCCTCATCTCCTTTTTCTTCCTCATCTCGTTTTTCTTCCTCCTCCTCCTCCTTCTCCTCCTATTCCTCTCTCCTCTCTCCTCTCCTCCTCTCTCCTCCTCCTCCTCCTCCTCCTCCTATTCCTCCTCCTCCTTTCCTCTCCTCTCTCTCCTATTCCTCTCTCCTCACCCCCCCTCTATCTCTCCCTCCTCCTCCTCTCCCCTCCTTCCATCCCCTCCCCTCTCCCCTTCCTCTTCTTCTTCTCTCCTCCTTCCCTCTTCTTCCTCTCTCCTCCTTCCTCTTCTTCCTCTCTCCTCCTTCCTCTTCTCTCCTCACTCATCCTCTCCTCCTTCCCCACTCATCCTCTCTCCTCCTTCCCTTCTTCTACTTCCTCTCCTCCTCCTATTCCTAATCCTATTCCTCTTCCTCTCTTCTCCTCTTCCTCTCTCCTCACCCCTCTCTCCCTCTCTCCCTTCTCCTCTCTCCCTCCTCTCCCCTCTCTCTCTCCTCTCTCCTCCTCCCTCTTCCTCTCTCCTCCTTCCTCTTCCTCCTCCTCCTTCCCCACTCATTCTCTCTCCTCTTTCCCTTCTTCTTCTACTTCTCTTCCTCCTCCTCCTCCTATTCCTAATCCTACCTACTCCTACTCCTACTCCTATCCTCTCCTCTCTTCTCCTCTTCCTCTCTCCTCACCCCTCTCTCCCTCTCTCCCTCTCTCCCTCTCTCCCCTCCCCTCCTTCTATTCTCCTCTCTCCTCCTTCCCTCTTCCTCTTCTCTCCTCCTTCCCCACTCATCCTCTCTCCTCCTTCCCTTCTTCTTCTACTTCTTCTTCTCCTCCTCCTCCCTCCTCCTCCTCCTTCCTCCTCCTCCTCCTCTCCTCCTCCTCCTCCTCCTCCTATTCCTCTTCCTCTATTCTCTCTCCCTCTCTTCTCTCTTCCTCTCTCCTCTCTCTCCCTCTCTCCCTCCTCCTCCTCTCTCCTCCTCCCTCTTCTCCTCTTTCCCTCCTCTCCTCACCCTCCTCCTCCTCTCTCCTCCTTCCCCCTCCCCTCTCTCCTCCTTTCCTCTTTCTCCTCTTCTCCTCTCCTCCTCCTCCTCCTCCTCCTCCTCCTCCTCCTCCTCCTCCTCCTCCTCCTCCTCCTCCTCCTCCTCTCTTCTCCTCCTCCTCACCCTATATGCCCTTCTCTTCCTCTTCCTCTCCTTCGTCCTTCCCTGCTTGTAAATTTTGATATGCCACATCTCACATTTTCTTTTTTTGTCACCAAATCTTTAGTCTTGGCATATAATGAACCTTATATTGGCATTGTTTAATTCCAGAATAAATCTAAATGAAGAGAAAACAAGAAGATGGTGAGGGTGAGGAGACATTGAAGCGACTTGCATCTCCAACATCACTAGTACCTGGACAGGTGAGTTTGACTTAATAAAACAAAGTTAGATATCTAGTATGTATTGTAGATTTAGATAACTCTCATACTTGAGGTAATTTCTAATTAAAGAATATTAAGATGTTGAATGTTATGATGTTGTTCATAGAAAAATATTGATGTATAAGATTTTGATATTTTCTCCTTTACTTGATATTAAGTAATTTGATGAAACATTGTATTCATTCCTATATTTTATAGGATGAACAGGTGCTTTGTTTTCAATCTTCACAAAGTATGTTATTCTAAGATGGCAAAACTGCCAACAGTACTTGGTTCAACCTCAGCAATTGACAACCGTCCAGCTACTGACGCCAACCGCCACTGGACCAATACTGGGAGCCCCTTCTGGAGTGCACACTGTTGGGGCGCTCACAGTTCCAACAGCTGTAGCTGTAGCAGTGCAGTCAGAGCACAGCCCAGTTGGAGCTGACCCCTGCCTATTAGGAGGAACAATCACATATACACAACCATCTTCTCATTCCCCTACATGCAACATTGTGCTTGCTACGCCCCAACCCTATGCAACAACATCCATTCCTGTGACAGGTCTAGCCACTTTACCCAACAGTAATACTATTGTAAATTCAATATCTGTATCAAATTCAGAATCACCTGCAGTTCTTCATCCTAGTGATAGCAGAAATATTTCATATGCAACCACAACAGTAAGAAGTGACATACCATCGTATTCAAATACCTCAGCAGGTAGCAACATTGGTATTTATACAAACACAACTTCAGTGAACAGTGTCACATCATATAACAACCCTGACACTCCCACCTATGTCAATACACCATCTACATCAACATCATCTACCCCAATAACTTCTACTCACAATACATATGCTATTAAGAGAAGCCTAGAACCTCCACTGGAACGGCAGCAGAGACTCTCCAAGAAGTTTGATGCCCTTATTCGATCAAAAATAATAGAATTGGTACAAGCAAGGGGTGTCAGGAAGACAGTTTGCCCTTCTGAGGTAAGGCAAAGACTTTAAATGTGTCAGATAATTGATATAAGTCATTGTATATTGAAAAGCACTGCTGCTTCATTCTCTTTCTTTCTTTCTTTTTTACATTTTTAGGTTGCACGTGCTCTTTCACCCAAAGCATGGCGAGATTTGATGCCAGCTGTTAGGAAGATTGGCGCTCAGCTTGTGAAAGAGGGTCTGATTCTTGTTACACAGAGAGGAACAATAGTTGACTTAGCAACTGCCCAAGGCCCAGTGAGATTTGGGTTAGCTGGATAAAGTAAAATTTCCAGTAATTCAGGTATATTGAGT